TTTCCGATCATACAAAATACATATAGACATATATTTTCTGCCAAAAAAGGGGGGGGGCCCGGGCTCCCGGCCCCCCCGTACGCGCCGCCCCTGATATATATATACATATACATATATACCAGTATATCACTAGAAAGCAGAGACGCAACTGAGAGATCATATTAATTATTCATGTAGATATGAAGCCTGGCGAAATATCAGATCAATGTATTATTATCACAACAAAACGAAACTCACGTATTGGGTAGTGACTGTGGTAGGGGAATCTGGTCTGAGTTGCGGCAGGAGCCGCATCTCCTCCCTCAGAACCTCCGCCAGAGAGGCAAACAGGCAACAGTAAAACGACTAGAATAGAGAAGTGGTGTGGTTGCTAAAGAAAAGATACGGAATTAATTGAATGATTTGACGAACAGAGCAAAATTGGGTAGCTCCTGCATTCCAGTTGTGACGGTTGATGCAGGTGTTTACAAGCTGCTGCTGCTGTACATCTATCTGCAGGTCATTGATGAGGTGAACGAGATTATGCGTCTGCAGGTGAACGTCAACATGATTGGAAACATGATTTCAGCAGCGGCCCATCGAGCTTTGGCCGAGGAGGATAGAGACGTGCCTGAACCTGTGAGTGATTATAAAGCTCGGTTTACACTACCGACTTTATGCTGTCAAATTGGCGAATTGGACCAATTTCACAATTCGGCAACAGAGAGTTGGCGAAAATAGAACCTGTTCTAATCTCCCAACTAGTTGCTACTAACCAGTTGCTCGTGCGACTTTGACGTTTACACTGTCGATTGTCGGTTGTATAATTGCGAAGGTGGTCCAATTCGCCAATTTGACAGCATAAAGTCGGTAGCGTAAACCCAGCTTAACCTGCCACCGCGACATTGTAATGCCAGCCCACGATCCAACCTCACCTTCCAACTGATACAGAGCCAGCCACGCGTTATTTTTGCTTCGCCGCGAAACGTGTATTGTCAAGGAACGTGTATTCACAATCAGCCATTAAGTTTTTTCAATGTAGCCATATAGGACATACCATGCGCCTGTGCTGGTACGTAATGAGGTATTCATATTTTTAGATCAGTCCCAAGCTGCGCAGCGAGAATCCCACGGTTGAGTTTGCTGTCGGCATGGTGATGCAACATAAACGGTAAGCCAGAGTGTTGACTTTATCATTCTTGAAGGAATGTCGATAAATTACAGTGGTGTAGTGCTAGCTTAATGAATGCATTTTGCCGTAGATAAGAATGTGAATCTTGCACATGTATGAGTACACAGGTGTGTTGAACACAGTGGTTACATGTTGCAGCTATGAGTACAAGTGTGTGATATATGGCTGGGACTCTACGTGCAAGGCTGGTGAGCAGTGGATATATCAGATGAGTGTGCACCTGCTGAAGGATAAAGATAGACAGCCGTTCTACAACGTGCTGGTGGAGGATGGATCCAGTCGATATGCAGCACAAGGTATGCTTCGCCACGCCACTGCACCGTTGCTTCTGTCACGACTTCGGTCCCGCCTTTTGTCTGTCACTGCGTATGTACCACCTGTCATGCCTACGTATTGCGTTTTCTCTATCACTGCTCATATATCGCCTGTTCAGTACCACCAACTTACACTCATAGGGTCTATGTCCCCCAGGGTACTATCGGAGGGTACCCTGGGTACGGTTCGATATATCGGAACATACCCTGGTAACGATCTGATATGGTTAGGGTTAGGGTTAGGGAGTAGGCGTAGG